GGGGGCGAGAGTCAAGCCCTGCACCGAGCAGTCAAGACTTCAGTCGGGCGTGTCCCCCTACAGGGGAATTGTCGACGAAAGATGAGAAATACCCAAAACATATTCCAAAAGAATGACCAAAAAGATATTCAAAAAGTAGTCCCCAGACTATGTTTTGACCATGTTTGAATATTCCCCCCGTAGAGGGACAGGCCCGACTCAAGTCAAGACACAACTGCGCAGGGCAGCTGAGAAAAGTCGGGCCCGGGAAGAGGAGGCAGGGGGAGGGAGAAGGGGCAGGATGCCGTGGTGAGATGCCGGGCGCGAGCAGGGGCTGGGCGCGCGCGCGCGCGCGACGCGGGCATGGTGCATGGTCTGGTGGCGTGCTCAGCGACGGGACTCCTCGCACCCGCAGCATGCAGGAAGCAAAACAGGCCGCGAAGAGGCAGAAGGGCGGAGCCTGGCCCAGCAGGGGCCGGGGAGGGGGGAGGGGCCGGGAAGAGCAACGGTTGGGTCGGGCGTGTCCCCCTGCAGGCGGATTTTGGGCGCCGAGTGAAGAGTCATCAAAAGTGTTCAAGAATAGTCACACAAAAAAAAGCAGTGGAGGCCCGACCACAAGAAACCTTCCTCAAGAAACCCAACCCCGAGGCTCCAGGACGTCCATGGATTGTTGGTGTGGGAACGTCACGCCTTCCATGGCAAAACCACCGGAACCCAAGAAACCCAGGCCACCCTCTAGACAGGCAGGGTGTTTCTTGGCATGGGTCCCCACTGTAATCAAAAGATCGTCCGCAGACTATGTTCTGACTATTTTTGTCAGCCCTTCCTCCTGTAGAGGGACATGCCCGACTCAAGAGTTCACGGCGAGCGGCGGCGGGCAGCACGGCGCAGCGGCGGCGAGGCGCGCGCGACGGCGAGGCGCTCGACGGCCTCCCGCGGCTCGCGCGAGGGAAAGGGGGGGGCCTCCGGGGTGCCGAGCCGCCGACGCACGGGCCGCGCAGGAGCCTCGCCCCACGGCCTGAACTCAGGTCGGGCATGCCCTCCTACAGGGGGATTCCGGACGAAAGATTGAACGTAGTCCATAAGATAGATGCAAAGATGGCCAAACACAGTAAAACGACATCGCCCCCCAAACTGATGTTTGTCTCTGACCGTGTCTGCACACGCCTCCTGCAGATGGGGCAGGCCCGACCTGAGCCCAGACGCGCATGCTGTACTCTTCCTTCTCCCCGACTGACATCGGCCGAGGGTGTGGGTCCGGCGGCTGAGCGGCAAGCCTGGAGACCGCCAGTCGGGGATCTTCTGACCTGGGTCAATCCAAGACCCGGGTCAGCAGGAAACCGAAAAACTGCAATGCAGGAAAAAAAACTGCAACGCAGGTCTTCGCAAAACCCGGGTCAGCCACTATGCGCGGCCGCCTCGCGGCCACGAGCGGCTCGCTAACCCGGGTCAGCCAGAGAGGGACTTCGCAGGATCCTGCAGGATCCGTTTGCACTGACCCCCGTCTCTGAGGCCCCGACTGGAGACCGCCAGCGCATCTCCGGAGCTCCCGGTGCCGCGCCCACTCGTGCGACGGGGCAGCGCCCGAGGCTCCGCGGCCAATGGCCGGCCCCTCCCGGCCGGGGCGCCGCCTGCCTGTGCTCCCCTCCTCTCTCCCAGTGCGAGGAGCGGGGCGGGCGCCCCGCGCGGGCGGCGGCGGGGCGCCGCGGGGTCTGCGCCGCCCCCGCCCCCACACCACACGCACACACAAACATACACACACAAACACAAACACACACACACACACAAACATACACACACACACACAAACACAAACAAACACACACACACACAAACACACACACACACACACACACAAACACACATACACAAAAAGACAGCACAAACGCAAACACGAGCAGTTCCTGCGACGGCGGGGAGGCAGAGCGACTGCGCTGGTGGAAGGGGGCAAACGTTGGACGAACGTATGACAGATGCGAAGAAGCCGCGATGCACAAGGGGGGAGAGGAGGCACTCGGCGACGGCGGGGTGCGGGACAAACACACACACACACACACACACACACACACGCGCACAGCAGGTGCGCACGGCGGGGGGGGCGGCTGTCTCGAGACGACGGCCTGGTGCCGCGATTGCTCGAGCACTGGAAAACAGAGTTGGTCGTCGCAACTCTCGGTTCGACGCGTCCTGCAATCGATCGAAGGGGCATACGATGCATTACATCCCTGCGCTGTCTTCGCGGGGCCTGCAAGCGCAGAGCAATGGAAAGCACACGTGCGTGCGGATCGGTGGTGTTTTGGCAGTTCCTTCTCTCGTGCCGTTCCTCGTTTCTGCTGCAGCCCCAGGACAGGAGTCAATCAAGTCTGTCGCTTCTCGCTCCGACTGCCCACTGTGACCACCACACCACGCAGCTGCCAAGAGAGCATCCGAGAACCCGCAAAACGTTTACAAAGCTTCCGAGGGGGCCCCAAGGGGTTCCCACGATGACCCAGTATGTCCCACAAGAGTCCAGAGAAGCACAGCAACATGGTCCAAGAGAGCTCCAAGACCACTCAAAACGTCCCCAGGAGGGTCCCAAGGGTACCCCCAGACTGCCGAAATCCAGCAAAGATTGGAGGAACAACTCATTCAATGTTTGCATGTTTGGAACTCCCGACTTTCCGCTGAACATGGCTCCATTAAAGCCTCGGAGAGCCCCAAGAGCCTCCAAAAGCGCTTCGAGAGAGGCCCAGCAGGACCCTCAATGGCCTGGGATTGTCCCAGGATGGCCCCACCGGGACTCCAGAATCAGAGGAAATTCTGATGAGCCAAAAAGATCCCAGGAGAGCCCCAAAGAAGGCGTCAGAAGCTCCCGACCGCCCAGGAAGTCCTCAAGACTTCCCAGAGCAGCTGCGAGACAGCCCAAGACGATGACAAGCGAGCCCCAGACAGCCCAATGGGGCCCAGGGTGTGGCCCGAAGCTTGTCCCGAGAGCCAAGAAGATACCGATAGTCACCACAGGAGAGCCCGAAGAGCGACACAACTAATCACTGGAATCGGTTCGGTGTTCGCCGATCCTTGTCCGAACCAGCCCAAAACAGTCCCTTGAGACTTCCAGCAATACCCAAACATTGGGTCCACAAGAGAACCCTGACTTCCCGAGGGTGCCCTCAGCCCGAGAGCCCCATGAAGATCCGAATAACACTCCGCCAGAGGCACGAGGAGTCAACATCAGACGGAATCCGCAAGATCAATCAAGTATTGTCTCCGGCGTCGCACTCCCACCACAACGACGCAACATGCGAGGAAGAGAACGCGGATGCATGGGGCTAATGACGAGGCACAGGAGAGAGGGGCACGGAGGAACGGATGAGGAAGGAAGGAAAAGGAGGAGCAGCAGCGGCAGCAACGATGAAGAGGAAGAGCAACAAGAGGAGGACGCGTGTTCTGAGCACACTCGGGAGGGAGAGCAGTTTAAGCACAACGACAGTACGAACAAGTAAGAGGGCATGGCGGAGGAAGAGGGGGAGCAGGATAAAGAGGAGGCAAAATGAGACCGCCAAAACATCCGAGGCCACAGGAGAAGGGAAAAGAATGAGGAGAGAGAAGCTGGAGGCGATCAAGACTTCCGCACTTGGAAACAAAAAGTGAAATTTGCGGCGCGTCGCTCTCTAGTCCCAGCATAGTGCATGGTGGTATGATAGCTAGATGAAGCTGGCCACGGTGTGTGCTAGGTGCGTTGGCGTACAGGTGCGCATGGGCTGGAAAGGCGATCGGCGGTAGAACAAGTGTGTAGGTCAACAATGCGCACGCGCGAAAAGGATTGCAAAATGAGATGTGCACGCGCTAGCGCACGTCCGGCAGCATGTCTCAAGCCACGCCCGCCAGGGAGAGGCGAGGCGAGGAGCGCGATGGGCTCTGGCTGTAAAGCGCGCCCAGCTCTGACAACAGCAAACCCGGAGGTTCGCGGCATCCGAAAGTTAGAAGAGCGGCGAGGGCCGAGAGTAGTACAGTGGTTCATAACACTCGCCGACCCGACGGGCAAAAGATGTTCTAGACGTGGCTAGCATGGGAAAGGAGATGGCCATCGCATTCGCAGGGCGATGGGTCTCTCTCTCTCTCTCTATCGTGTTTTCGGGTGTACTACGAGCGTCAAATACGACGCAAGACTGGGATGATGATGCTGATGATAATGATGAGTTCGATTATGATGATGCTGATGCTGATGCTGATGCTGATGCTCATGCTGATGCTGATGCTGATGCTGATGCTGATGATGCTGATGATGGTGAGGATGGTGAGGATGATGATGATGATGATGATGATGATGATGATGATGATGATGATGATGATGATGACGGCGATGCTGTCGATGCTGCTGATGCTGATGCTGATGGTGATGGTGATGGTGATGCTGCTGATAATGACGACCAGTATGAGTCCGGTGATGATGATGATGATGATGATGATGATGATGATGATGATGATGATGATGATGATGATGATGATGATGATGATGATGATGATGGTGATGGTGAGGGTGATGGTGAGGGTGATGGTGATGGTGATGGTGATGATGGTGATGGTGATGGTGATGGTGATGATGATGATGATGATGATGATGATGATGATGATGATGATGATGATGATGATGATGATGATGATGATGGATGTTGCCAAAGCACCCCATAGAGGCCCATGAAAAGATGCCAAGATGCTCCCGAGAGGCCCCATAAGGGGCCCCCAAGAGGCCCCCACGGCCAGAAGAGCCCTCGAGGACGCCCCCAAAGAGGCACCAACACAGGGCTCGAAGAGAATCCTGAGAGAAACTCACGTCCTGGGAAGCCGCGGCAACTCCCGATGGTGGCCCTCTGCTCTCCGCATCGGCAACCTGGGCACGGTGGCGGGAGTGGTCGAAGGCCACTGACAAGTTAGCTCTCGGTGGCAGGGGCGCGACCAAAAATCTGACACGAGGCCCTCAAGGCAGATGCTCGCTCTGGGGCCCCAAAGCAAAACCCAGCCCAAGCTCAGGCGCGAGGCGCCTGAAGGGCACGACCCGTTCTCGTGATCCAGCATATTCAGGCGCATGGACACGTTGTAATGGCCCGGCGGCGCCTGCTCGTTCGGGAGCTCGCACGGAATCCCCTGAGCGCGCGGCGAGAGCACGGCCGGGCAGCGGAAGAGGAAGGAGGAGGAGGAGGGCGAGGATGAGGAGGACGAAGAGGAGGAGGAGGACAAAGGGGAAGAGGAGGAGGAGGCGGAGGAGGAGGGTGAGGATGAGGACGAGGACGAGGACGAGGAGGAGGAGGAGGAGGAGGAGGAGAGAAGGAGGAGGAGAGAAGGAGTAGGACCATCGCATATTTAAGAAGGAAGGCAAGGGTTGGTCGACCCTTTGCAGCTCGAATACCTTAGGCTCCGATGGCCACAGTTACATCGCCTCACCCAGGCTCGTGATCTCACTCTCTCTCTCTCTTCCACTCTCGCCACGTCGTTGACAAGCTGGACGGTGGAGATCGGGCGGCAAAAACGGCCTGCAGACTTCATGGAGTCTTTGGGTTGGTGACCTGTCTGAAGGAGCGCCCATGCGCAGCGTGAGAACTTGCTTCGGAACTCCGTGCTGCAATCCTTCCTGAGATCTTTGAATTGGTCTCTGTGTAGTGTCCACAGGTACGGCAAACCACAAGGAAGCACTGAGGAGGAGGAGGAGAAGGAGGAGGAGGAGGAGGAAGAGGAGGAAGCACACCAGTCCTACGCGCCAATACCTCCCAGCGGCAAATCATGGTGGCGACCGACAGCACAGCTGCCCCCCTCCAGGCGGCTGGCGCCGCTGAGCCACTCCCGCCACCACCAGGGAGAGGGCTCCCCAACTTGCTGCAAGCCGTGCCCGACCCGAGAGCGGTCGCGGCAGCGGAGCCAGACACGCCACTACAAGGACCAGGCCCGCCAGACTGCCACGGTACCTGCGTTCCCCCAGGACATGCACTCCAGGAGTGAGGTACAGGCCCATGCCAAGAAACACCCTGCTTGCCTCCAGGATGCCCTTGGTTTCTCGGGTTTGGACGGTTCTGCTGTGGAAAGCGCGAAGTTCCCACACCGCAAATCGATGGCCGTCATGGGACCTCAGGGTTGGGCTCCTTGTGGACGGTTTCTTGTGGACTGGCCTGCGCTGTATGCGGTTATCCGTATCCGCGGCCTCGCGGGCCGGGCCCCTGGGCTTGTGGGCGGCTGGCGGCCTGGAATGCAGCCAGAACCGGCGATGAGCACGGAGCTTCGGGATGCCAAGGCCCCCGGAGCGGCGCGAACAGCAGGCCTGCGCGCGCAGACGTGCCGAGGATGGCCAGAGCCGAAGGCTGCAAGGCGCCCTTCCGATGAGGGCCCGTCCGCAACGACGGCGTTGACGGTCGCTCCCGAGGATCCGTTCTCCACTCGTGTCGCCTCCGAACGTCTGAAGGAGGTGCTTACACCTCAGGGGAGGCCGGCACAGTGGGGGGGGCACATCGACCTGGAAGCGGCGATGCATCGCCGATAGATTGGCGATGGGCCCCCGTTCGTGAATCCGCACGTTCTGAGGAGGTTGAGGCGATCGGGCCCCTTATCGGCGATCAGTGGGCGATTGGGGGTCGATGCGCCCCCCCTATGCCGACCCCCCCCCCCCTATCGTTGCCCCTGAACACGGGGGGGTGCCTCCTCAGGGGGAAGATGATCCTAGATTCCTGCGTTGGTGATAACAATTTCGGTCACCTTGGAAGCCAGAATATCACCACCATCGCCGAGAGCGGGATCTTCCTCCCTCGGTGGAGGCACACCGCTACATTGGTGTTGATGTCAGCCTCTAGGCCAGCGAATGTAGGCGGCGAGCCCGGGGGGGGAAGCGGGAAGGGTCGGGCCTTCTCAGAAGGCTCGGAAGCCCCCCTGGCCTTCTGAGAAGTGTTCCGAGCCTTCCCCGAGGACAGGGGCAAAAACCCCCCCGGAGGGCGCGAGGGCTTCCGAGCAGTCCCGCCGCCTTCTGGGAAGGCCTTCTCCTTCTCGCCTCCCTCCCTCGCTCGCCGCCGAAAGACGGCCGAAAGAGGGCCCCACGGCGTCGGGCGACCCACGGGAGACGCCCAGGCGAAGCTGCGCGGGAGTCCCCGAAGGGAAGGGCGCCGGGGAGGCTCCGCGCCTCGAGCAATGAGGCCCCATGGGGCTCCAAGGGAGGCCCACCGAAAGCACGGGCGAGGAGCTCTCCAGGGCGGGGGGGGCCCCGGGAGCACTCGAGACGAGTGCCGCGCGTGTGGCGTCGCGGAGTGGCTGGTTGCCATGCTGCACCCGCCACGGTGGAGGCCCGTCCACGAGGGACCTGCCCGAAGAAGCCCAACCCTGAGGCCCCAGGACGTCCATCGGTTGTTGGCGTGGGAACGTCACGCTTTCTCCATAGCCAAGCCATCGAATTCCAAGAAACCCCGGGCACCCTGGAGGCAAGCAGGGTGTGTCCTAGTATGGGCCTCCACTGTATGTCGTCATGGTGCGACTGGTTACCATGCTGCACCCGCTGTTTACGTTGTCCCCCTTTTCTCTGTTCTCCACATGAAAGAATCGGATCGCACCACACCGTAACCGTACATGATGTTGTTCTACAGTATTGCGCCAGACCAGATCTGGCTGAACAGCATGATCCGCCCAGGACAGAATAGAGAACTCGTGAACAGACCAGACAAAAGCTGGACACACTAGACAATAGCCAGGACCGAACTAGGCGGCGCGCCCGGGGGGGAGTGAGAGGGGGTAGGCCTTCTCGAAGGCGGCGGGACTTCGCAGAAACCCTCGCGCCTTCTGAACAGTTGTCTGCGCATTTGGGGAAGGTTTAGAGAACTGATCAATCAAAAGGCCAGGGGAAGGCCAGAGGCCTTCAGAGCCGTCTGAGAAGGCCTGCCCACTCCCACATCCCTCTAGACGCGCCGCCGACAACCAGACCAGACCCAAACAGGCCATGGCATACGAAAACCGCATACCCAGACCGAACAGAGCGGGCCCCACAGAGGAGGCGGAGGAGGACAAGCGGAACGTGTAGGCGACAAGCTCTTCACGTAGATCTCCTTCTCCCCGCCTGCCCCCTCCAGTCCTCCGTTCCCCTCCCGCTGCGCACGCCCTCGGACCTCTTGCTGCTCCTGCTCCTCCTGCTCCTACAAGGCTGAAGCAGACCAGGGTAAACAGCAGGATGCCGCACCTTCTCATACCAGATCCTACGGGACCAGACCACACCACGCAGGAGCCTGCCTGAGCGAGCAGTACTGCGCAGGACGTGTCCAGGCCGCAGGAGCAGAGAAGCGATCTGGCCACCGCGCCCGCAGTCCGCAGTGCTTCCCCCGTCGCGAGGCGGCGTCGTGGAGGAGGAGGTGCACTCCCTCGCTGGAGGCTGCAGCAACTCCCAGCGATCCACAGCAGACTGTCGCGCGGGAGCAAGCCAGCCCGGACCAGATCTGGCTGAGTCCCACGCTGAGAGGAGAGGACGTTAAGGATAGCGGATGCAGGAGTGGAAGAGTGGGGATGTAGACCCTGAGGGCGGAAAAGGAAAGGTCGACGAATGGTGCAAAAACTGGGAGAGGAAAGGAGATGAGGAGAAGGAGCCACATACGCAGCAACATTTCTCTAGATTGGAGATTGGATACGTCCGAATGGCCGCAGTTGACTCGGATATGACATCGTGTCAAACGAGGCCAGCAACATCAATATGGCACACGCAACCTGGCCACACGACGTGAGGCCGGTGTACATTACATAGACCGCGTCTAAGACAGAGGGAGAGAGAGAGAGAGAGGCAGACTGGTCCCTGGATGGGCTGGTGGAACATGCAAACAGTTTACACCATCCTGCACTCGGTTTGGGCATGTGTTTGCTTGGAACCTGGCAGTCGCCTATTCGCAACCGCGAACACCCGCAGAAACCCACCAGAACCAACCGCACCGAATTGCACGGAACATGGCGATTGCCCACTTCCAGGCAGCAACATCATGGAGGATCCCACAGATGAGTTGCATAGGGAGTGCCAGCATGGGCCCCAAGCCATGCGTTATTGCACCGTGGAGGTGCAAGCTCTGCGGTGTAAGCTATGTGGTGGAAGCTATGTCGTGTCAGCTATGTGGCACGAGCCATGAAAGCGAAAGCTGTGCGGTGTAGTCTACGTCGTGGTGTTATCAGGAGGTGCGTGCCAGCTACGGAGTCTAAGCTCTGTGATGTAAGCTACGTCCTGTAATCCATGCGATACAATCACTATACGTGGTGGAAACACTGTTTGCCAGCATCACTCCTCGCGCAAGCACCCCCACCATCCCACCCGCAAGTTGATTCGCAAACCCCGTGCGGCGACGATTGCAATGACTACTTGGCCATGGCTGGCGCAACTCTGCGGCCGCGCTGGCGGGCGCGTGCAGAGCGGCCAGCTGCTTTGGCACAACCAATGTGGCCGCGATGGCGTTTACTGCTGGTAACGTCCCAGCGAGTGTCAAAAGGCAGCGCTGGCGCGCAGGCACTTTAATACTGGTTTGTGGCTCAGGTGGGCGCGGTATCAGGATGATGCCGGCGACGGCGGCAAGGCCAATGACGGCCCCGATGTTGGTAACGCCAATGGCGATGATGAGATCCATGCGTCAATGATGAGCGTGCTTGAGCGATGATGGCGGCAAGTGCGACGAATGACGACGACAGTGACGAGATGCGGCGGCACTGATGGGGGCGGTGATGATGAGGAAGTGCGCGCGCAGAAAACGATGAACAATGGCACACTTGCTGTTGGTAAACAATTGGTTTTCACGTGTTTGGAGAGTTCAATTTTGGACTGCGCCGAAAACCAATATTCGGTGGAAGGATGTGACACGCTCGCGTAGCGGCACGCGCGCGCTGTCCGCACGGTACTATGTGATACGGATCCGCGCGCTGGGCGCGTGGTGGATCGATGCGGACGCACAGCGTGGTGGAATGAGATTGGGGGTTCTGGGCGAGATTGCTGAAATCCCACCAGCCCTCTGGGCGCTGTTGGTGGAGAGCGTTTCCTCTTCCACCTCCCTTTTTCCTTTTCCCTTCCAAGAGAGCCCTAAGAGGGGCCCAAGGGAGCTCCAAGACGGCCCCAAGAGCGCCCAAGAGCGCTCCTACAGCGCCCAAAGAACGTTCAA